TTTTCCAGAGAAAGTCGCCATTTAGCTCGTTGTGCAAATCCAGGAAGTCGTGTTATTTACACATGCAATGTTCCCTAATAAAATGATTAATATACGAGACAAGAAGGCGCCAGAGAAATCGACCTGGGTTTTGCACCACGTTTCCCTAGCCAGTAGAATAAAGAACACTCTTCAAATAGAAACTACGTTTAAAATTAATCCCCGATATTGTGGTTATCGACACGAAATTCTATACTAAAATACATTGGTCATTGGCCTTATTTGTCCAATCAATTAGTTTGACACTTACCTGTAAATTTCTCTGCGTTTTAGATTTTAATAGGTTAGCAAACATGATGAAATAATAAGCTAAAAAAGTCCGATGGTGTACACGAAGACCACGTTTTGTCACAAATTTAGGTTTCCTGACCTCTTCCTTAATCAGCACGTGTAAAGAAACTTGATTTTCACGTCGTCTGTGAGGGATTGATTCGTTTTTGGGCGATGAATGAACCTCTAAAGTGAAGAGCGAACTGGGAATGTTACTTTTATTCGGCTCTTGAAGGCTTTATACAGAATGTAGTACAGAAGTATGTTTAAGGGACCAAAACAAACATTTTGGTCAAATAACCCAGTGGTCCAAAATGTTTCGTTTTCACTCCTGCTTTGCTCTTTCAACCTCTTTACATTCCCATACCACGCGCTCTATATCTTCCTCCACAAATTCTGCATTTCCTTTCTTCTTCTTTTCCACTTCTCTTTCTCTCTCCTCGATTCCTCATCTAAACTTTGCTATTATTTTTATAATCCCCCCCCCCCCTAGGTATTTCTACAACCACTTCTTCACTATCAGCTCTTTGTACCTATTGTTTACTCGTGAGCTCTCGATTTTCCTCTTTTGTTGCTGTACTTCTATATCTATGTCCCTTTTTGTAAGTACATCTTCCATCCTTTCCCCTATTTTCTCTCCTCCTTTCGACCTATGGCCATCCGTATCCATTTTTCATAATTTTTTTTGTTCCCCCCTTAATCATAGATATATCCTACAACCAGAAAACTGCGTCAACATATGTGAGAGACAACCAACAGTAGAATACTGATCATGCGCACTCATTTGACATTATCGGCACTTCAGTGGCGTGTTATTTCCTTACATCATATAGAGGTTTACGGCCACAAATGTGTTTTACAATTGGATTTGTACTTGGTGACAAAATCACACCGATCACATTTTAAATCCGTGGTGTATACACTTGATACCCAACATTATTTCATTAATTCAGTTTATCTTTCACTCCTTTTCTCGAATATGCGTCCCGACGCCATCCTTATCTTCTCTTTTTTTGTTTCCTCCTCTAATATGAAATTTGGTGTCCTTCCGTTTAGACCCAATACCCATGTGTAATATCTTCTTTGTATCCCTTCTAGTTCATCCAATTCTTTCCACCTCCACATCTCCGTTCCGTGCATCAACGCCTCCCACCAGTGCAAAATGGTATTTTCTTATTCTGAAATCGTTTTTGAAGCCCATCTCTCCTATTCCCGACATCTGTATCGTCCCTTTTTTCTTAGTTCGTAGTATTTCAGCATTTGACCCAGTATTTGGTGCATCTGGTACTCGAAATATCTACTTTTCCCCCTCCACTTCCATTCATCCTCTCTTTTCCTTTTTTCTTGCTTTCCTTAATAAAGTGCTGCTTCCGATCCTCTTATTTGTATTTCTTCCAAAAGTCCTGTTTTTATTTCCCTGATTTGTTCTTTTCATATTCTTTCTGTTCATCTTTTTTTCTTTAAATTTTCTTTTGTACTTTTTTGTTCTCTCAATTCCTTTTTCTCTCCATCATTCTTCTATACCTGTTTCTCTCTTCTGTACACTTTATTCCACGTTTCCTTTCTAGTATCTTTCTCGTCCCCCTTCCCCTTCATTAACCTGTTTACACATTATTGCATTTTCATACATCGCTTCATACTTTTCCACTCTTCCTCTGTACTCCATCCTATTTTTCTTCTTGTTCCTCAGTCTCCCTTCGTCTTTGTATCTTTTCCTTTCTTGATGTTTTTATCTTCCCTTTTCGACCCATTTCCATCGGTTGCTGATCTGATTCTATCCTTAGTCCTATCTTAAATTCTTTACTGCCGATCTCTCTCTTCCTCCCATGTATGTGTATTGCCTTCGAGCGTCACCAGCAGTTTCACTCTCTCTTGCTTCTGGACAAGATGGAGTCGGCGATGGTAAGCGCGAATGGAGAACGGCGGTCCCAGGAATGTTAAAGGGCAAGCGGTGGGCGGCTACTGGTGAATGTTAAACAAACTTAAAGCGTACAGAAATTTCTTCAAGCGGGAACAGTACCTAATCGGACTCGGTAGCGGTTTCTACGAAAAAGCAATTGCAGGAGAGCGAGACAATATCCTCCCTAGAATTAATGAAACTGAAAGTAGCAAAAAATTTACCTTGCAATTAATGAAGCGATGGGAATTATTGTGCAAGAAAATGCAAAATCTATAGTTACGATGCGGTAAACTTAATGTAAAAGCAAAATTTAAACGGTATGAATGCAAAATGAACTTACGGAAACGCTCAAAATTACGGTACTTACAAAATGTAGTTTGCAAAGATGCAAAAGGCGGAAAGCAAAAGGATTTAAATACGGTTAAACACCAAAGGCAAAAGATTTTACGTTTCGGTAAACCACCACATGCAAAAGATTACCTCTAAATTAAGCGTTTAACTTATGTAAAATATTCGGCTATGCTATGGCGAGATTGACGGTTTTGGGATAACGTTCGAAAATTACAATCTCTTTAGTTCCGTCCTTCCCAGACTTTTTAAAAATATAGCACCGGTGTCAAAATTCAGTTTTTTAAAAGTGCACCTAAAGGATGTAATCTTGACTTAAGCGGAGGCTGCTAACTGTAACCCATTAAACTAATTACGATTTTCGAAATAGTAGGAAAGTCCTTAAACTGCACCGTTTTAATGCTGAATTTGCGTCAACCATTAGAAAACTAAAATAGATTAATAAGTAATTAATGGGCTTTAAAATAATAAGATTGATTCTCTCACACAAAGCTTACTCCCTTGTTTCCTAGAGCAAATCGGTGCATTCATAAACTATGGTGTCTTAGTAACGAAACGCCCAATCATTCGTCTATGACCATCTTATATACAGGGTATCTATAAAAGAACTCCGGGGTTTTAAGACAAAATATTTTAATACAGTAAAAAACGTACATACATGTTTTATACATGATTAGAAAGCTTACATTTTCAAGATTTTTAACAACTTAGTAAAGTTCAATGTGAGCTCCGTTAGTTAGTTAGTCCAGACGACACTGACTGCCTGCCGCAGCCGTTACGTCATTTCACGGTCAACGCTCCGCAGCGCTGCCAACTGTTGAGAGAAACATTCCCAATTCGTATGAGTAAAACTCTTTGAGCTGCTTGTTTCAAAGGAATTGATCAAATTTTGCTATCTTTTATAGTTTAAAAAATATTAATTTTTTAAACCCCAGAGTTCTTTTATAGACTCCCTGTATGTACATGGTCTAAATGGCGTCGTTTTTCTTATACAGAGTGGAAAAGAGTGAATTTTTGTTCGTTTTTGCGTGTTTACTTTATGTTCTGTGATAATTGTTTCAAATTTGATACATCAATGATGTTTTCGAATCTCTACAATAAAATCAAAATAGTTGGTCGCAGTATACAGGGTGTTGGCGCCTTGTATAACGAAAATGACGCCCTTTAAGACCATGCATATATTGCCTTTTTTTTAAATTTTGGCAAGTACTATAACTCCCTGAAAGATCTGCATTAATGAACACCCTGTATATACATATCTTTAAGAAAAATTCCCGGTACATACTACATTTCCGACTTCTGCATCTCAAAATTATTGACACATTACTAACATTTTCAAATTGTTTACATATTTTGAAGTTAAACGTAAAATGTCTAGTTGGTTCTGGTTACATTGTTAAAAAAAGTTTCCAAAATGTCTACACCTTTTGAAAATTTTATTTATTTCTATTTTTGAAAATTTTTTGAAACATTTGCTGAAGTATTTAAACATTTTTCAGCTATTTTCTATCATTTCGGGAACACTTTTCTATCTCTACACAAATATTTCCAAAATTAAAAAAAAAATGTGCAATTTCTTAACCATTTGCAACACACATTTTCAGGATGCTTCATTTGAAATATTTTTATACATTTCCGAATCATGTAACTTAAAATTATTGACACAATCGTAAAAAAAAAGGCAGATGTGACGCGTTCTTTCCGAGAAATGTGATCTGCTCATTCGGGAATTCACGAGAATGTTCCGTGATCTTTGTAGAAACTTTCCGTTTGCCATACACGCGTGTTTAATGGAAGTTCCAATATCGATGCCGCAATGATTATTGGCGAAGTTCGCGCTTGTATTATGATAAATTTACATGTTATAAATTTCTGTACAATACGGTTATAAATTAATTAATAATTAATTAAATTTACGTTACATGGTCTCGATAAACAAATGAATTAAAAATTAATACTCATTATTGGATGACAATGGTACCCAAATCGTTGGGTGTTATCTTGTTTTTGTATGCCGCTTCAAAGAAGCCGCGCTTTGTTGCGCAATTCGACTATTATTTAGCTATTCTATTACAAACTCAAATTACGTTCGCGTACAAACAGTACCTATCTACTAATTATGCACACGTAAACGGTGTACATTACAATCATTAAATACACATCGCTGCCGCCGATAACCGCAACACCAACTGTAATAAAAGTTTGAGATAAACGATGCATTTCCTGTAATGTTCTTGTAAAAGTCAAGTTTAATGCAATAACGCTGTAAATTTGGATTGTTACAAATTAAAAGGATCATCACCGCCTTCTGACGTAGGCACTTGAAGCTTGATGACGACGCTCCGATTTATCATCAACAGGTGTTAACCTTCATCATCTCTTATTATCTACTACACCTTTTAAAGTAAATACAATTATAGTAACCGTGATTATTCTTTTTCAGGGTGACTACATACGACACCCGGTTTTGTACGAGCTGTCGCACAAGTATGGCCTCCAAACCGAAAACCTACCGGACTCGCTCCTGCCGTGCAAGCTGGAGGAGCTGAAGGAGGCGATCCGGCGCGAAATTCGCAAGGAGCTCAAAATTAAAGAGGGCGCCGAGAAGCTTCGCGAGGTCGCGACCGATCGCAAATCGTTAAGTCACGTGGCAACTATAGTCAAAAATTCAAATTCCAAACTCGCAGAACTGAAAAATGAACTTAGCGAACTGGAATCTCAAATTATACTCACTCAGGGACAGAGCGCCCCTTCTACGCCACCGACGAACGGCGGTAAGTGCCCGTTTTTGAAAAGTAGCAGGTGCGCAAATTCATCCTTTTAGGGACTTTTGCGCGCCGGCAAAGAGAATAGAATAGAAAACCTTGATATTTATTACATGTCATGATCGTGACTAAATTGTATCGTAATTGTACATCTCACACGCAGCTCTAGGTCATGTAATTGTACGGTAGGAATAATTCCATTTTTTGTATAAAGCTAGTGCAAAAAATTACATTCATAATATTGGCTTTAATTAAGTTTTCATTTTTTAAGGTGAAGGATTGCAATTTCCACCAATTAAAATAAACAAGGTTATTTTTTTTGTATTTTGGTTGCAAGTTTAATGTTAAGCTAATTAACTATAATCGTACGTTACATCGCAAGTTTTGTAATAGTAATTTTCAGGTGCAAGTTTGCGCGAGAATAATTGTTTTATCAAAGCGTGCACACTTAAAATGAAATTTCCCATTTTCAGATTTAAAAAAAACGAAAGGAACAACCAGAAATCACAACGCAAGTATCAAGTTAAATGTACACAAATTTAAATTGGCCAAATTTGGGAGAAATTGGGGTACTCTCTTCCAGCGCTCCGTTCTCGAGATATTCGCATTTGAAATTTTGATTTTCCTATTGGACTACAATCCACTCCACTCCACGGTGCAATATTCAAAAATCTACAGATTAATCAGTTTATGTTTTTTTTTTCACAACTAGTATGTATTTGAATTTGAAACACTAGGTGTTTTTTCGTTTCGGCGCTTAAACACTTTCCAAACATTTGACGATCATACAAAAATTCATATTAAGAAAATTTTGATTTTTTATTAGTAAAAATTTAACCCAAGGTTGGTATCTTTTAAATGCAACGCCCTGTATTTTTTGCATTTTTTTCCTGATTGCAATGATGTATCACATTCTATATTTTTTTAATAGATATAATTATACACTGTGTCCAAGGTAAGGATGTCTTTCATGGGTTTATCGAAAACCATAGAAGATACGATCGTGAAATTAGGGAAACGTTGCACAATTAAAGAGTGTATATCGTGCTGGAAAGAAAACCAGAAAATTTCGATTATTTCCAAAGGTATGCCAGAACAGAGAAATCATCAACAACTTTACATTGTATTGAGTAGCATTTTTTATTTCGACTACAAAGATGTACGACGCACAAAAAAACTAAAGTTGGAACCTTAGGTTCCATCAGGATGGCGCACCCGTACACAACGCGCTAATCGTGTGAACCTATGGCACAAATTTTCTGGAAAACGGAATATACGTGCGATAGATATTCTCGCACTATTAAGGCGTTATGGATTCCTTCACAGCATGATACTCTTCTAAACTAAATTAGTGATTTCATTCTAAACAGCGGGAAAAGTTACCACAATTCAATATGGTTTAATTACCCACTTATTTACGCAGTAAATAAAAACGACCGCTCATTCATAATGCATGTGTAATTAAAATTTTTCCATCACTACCAGAAGAAGACGACGAATCATCCAAGGAAATGTCAGATTCTTGTTCAACAATACCTGCAGTTGAAGTATGCTTCCGTGCCTTGCTTCAATCACACCTTCCTAAGTCGTAACATTGTTGTCACTTCAGAAAATCTTAATATCCAACCTACATCTCGCATATCTGAAAGCAGTTCCGTTACCATCCGCGTGCTGCCCTCCGTTGGTGGGATCAAACAAATAGGTTCAATAAACAATCGAAGGCGATAAACGATGGTGGTTGCCGATGGTTAACTTTTTCGGTAGCGATAACGTAGTTTTTTGGTTTATCAAAATCATGAACTCGATGATAACAACGAAAACTTTCACGGCGATTTACAAATTAAAATCGATGAAATGGTATGCTACTTTTTAACAGTCATGCTCATTGTTGGCGATTCTACAACGACCTCTTGTATTCGATTCGAATATTGTTCGACAAGTGCGCATATGAAGGTTAATTCTAACATATACTGGTTATTTGGGTTTTAAATACTATTTTGGAATGTTTCATACATTTTGCAATGATCTTCAAACCAGCTTTTAAATATTCTTGAAGATCATTTATGACATAAAACCTTTCGGGGATTCACAAATGGACGAAGTGACTCGGCTTTAAAAACGACAAAGAATCTCAAGGACTTTTGGAAGACTTTCGATGATCGTGGAAAATGTTTGCAGCCTTTAATGGTTCTTAAAGATTTTTAGAGACCCATAAAAGCTCTTGAAGATTCCTCAAGGCAAGTCCCAAACATTTCTAAAGCGTTTAAATCTTGGAGACCCTTGAAAACCTTTGACGACTCATTAAAGATTTATAAGAGACGCTAAAGTCTTTAGGAAAGGTTTTTTAAAACTCTGTTGACAACTGAATATAAAGGTCCTTGAAGACGAATTTTGATGCTCTTTTATAAAGCCTCTACAAGATTCAGGAAATAAATATTTTTAAAGATTATACACTCTACCATAAGAAATACATGTAAAATTCGAGGCAAAAATGCAAGGTTGATTGCCAAATCAAATACTATACACTGGTTTTGTAATTTTTTCTCCATCGAGTGACGTAAAAATCCAATATGGCGTCCATTTCAAATAAGAAACTTGATGTCAATATCTCGAAAACCGCCATTTTGAAATTTGTTTTTCTATACCCTTTGAATTTATGAATTTATCCCATCGAATATTGCAACTTTTATTTGAAACTTTTTTTCCATAACTCTTTATTACTACTTTTTTTAAATGGCGATTTTCACTTTTTTCCAATTACCTAGGAAACGAATATCGCATCGAAATATCTATCGGTATCAAAAACTACACAACTTTTCTAATTTAACCGGATCTGTAAGTATAATAATAACAAAGATAGACGTTATTCTACTCAATTTAAGACACCCTGTATAAAATGTATGATACTTAATAATAAATATGAAGTGTTATATCGTTACAATAAAAAAGGACGTGTAGGTTAGACTAGACAGAATTCTATAGAAATAGACTAAGCAAAAACGTTTTCGCCCTAAGGCGAGTTACTTCAGCGCATTTTCCATGCATTAATCAGTACTTCCCAAAAAGTCAAATTTTTTTCTTTACTCGAGGCATCCATGGTTAAAATTTCGAAGAAATATCTTCATAAAAAGTTTGCACTGCGCATAGACTGCGCGTGCTCACATCTAATGTTTACAATATGAGATATGTTTGCCTTTAACAAACAGAAATTTCGATAAATAAGACAGTTGATATTGCACATGTGCACATTAATCTCATGTTTACAATATGCGATACGTTTGCTTTTACTAAAAAAGCAGCTTTGGTTAAAATTTCAAAGAAACATCTCCACAAAAGCTACCGAATTAAAAAAAACTAACTAAATATTTGAAAAACTGTAGGAGTAGTTACCGCCTCGAACGGATGGACAGAGAAAGTGACTTAACTTCGTTGAAAAATGCGCCAAGACGTTTTTTTAAATAAATAAAATTTTCATTCGCCGGATGGGCGTCAGAGAGATCTCCCATAGGTAATTGGGGGTGGGCATGTGCTCACCCTTGACTACGTGCAATTAATGTAAACGTTTAGAAACGCACCTAACTCAATGAGTGACATTTACTGCTTTACTGTAATTAAAAGTCAAAAAATTAATTGAATCGAAGAAAAAATGGAAATGTTTATCACTCGTTTCACATTGTATACAACACAAAATTAGATAAATATACAAAATGTCGGAAGCCAGATAGACGGTGTTGGTGCATTTATTAAAATTAATTAAGACATACAATGTCAATATCAGTCTAATTACCACAAAAATTCAACTAATCAAATACTAATTACTAGTGCGGTCAAATATACCTACTTCCTAAATTTTAATTATATGATCGAATTTTTGTGGGTAATTAGTAGATTCTTTCATTTTTTATTGTAATTTCACTCTCATTATTTATTCCAGTACAAATTCTTTTAGTATGATATTACATATGCAAATTAGTGAATGTTTTCCATATTCAAATATACTTAGTAGCATTTTTTGATTTGGCATCTACATTTACATGTGACTTTTTAAGAAATAATTACATCGAAGTGCAATAAAGTCGTTCTTCGGTTCGTTCACTTCCTCCATTCTGAACTGAACGGTCGTCTGTAATAAATTGAAGTGGTAAATGGCCATTTATGACCCGACAGTATATAAAAATACTCTCATTACCATTTAATGCTCCATAATCCTAGCTAATGTAAATGTCTTGTCGAAATACATATTATAGTCACGGAATGCAATTGATTCACAAAACGAATTAGAATGGCATGTGATTGGTATTTCCGAATCAATTTCACTTCCCGGGATCGAAATGACGCCGGTCAAAATTTCCAGAAGTGCTTTTGGGATGTTGTGCAACTCAAGCTTAATTGGTCGTCGTCGGTCAAAGTGTTCTCATTGTAAATAATTACAACGTATTGTGTTCGAAGGTTGGAGGAATCGTATACCCATAAAAATATATACTTAAAGGATGTGAATGTCACAATCATTACCTATTTTATGGTTATTTTTCCCATGTTTTTGTGCGACCATTGTATGGTTATAGGTGGTCGAACGAAAGAAGAGAATTACAAATTCTATAGGAATGTTTCTCGCCAAATGCATAAAGAAAATTGGATTCCCAGCAAAGTTTGAGACTTCTGGCCTAATGTTTTGCTCATCTAGTGGCCACCACTCGTAGAAGTCATCTGGTTTTTAGTCATCAAGGAAGTCTGTTCTATGTTACCAGAATGCCTTCAAATTTGGTACGAATTTTGAGCAATAAATGTTCGGGTCAAATTTTGACCAACGCCCAAGGGGTAGCTAAGGGCAAAATTATATTGTCTACAGATAGAAGGTATACAAAGAAAACAAGTTAAAAAGTAATCGTAAACGAACGATTTACATAAAGCGCATTTCCACTTGCATTCATTTCCCATTTGTAAGATGCAACTTCTGTTAAAATCGTAAAAATCCGGCCACAAATATGGAAGCTAGCGTTGCAAATGTG